ATTATTTCAATCAATGTCATTAGTATTCAACATACTAAAGAAATAAGTACTACTAAGTAATCAAAATCTAGACAACTCAACTAGAATTTAGTACAGAGACAACCATACTTCATGCGAACCCTTAGAACTAGAGCAAATATAGTTACTCAAAATAATTATTTATTTAAAAAGGCTCAATACTCATCTTGCTCTGTCAAATTGACTTTTGCTAGTTTTGCCCTTCTGATGGTAGCATTGGTGTGCTCGGTGTCCTTGCTTTTTGCATGTAAAACACATTCCTTTGAACTTCTTGATTTTTCTACTCCTTTTGTTGTAGACAGTTCTGACACTTTGATTTTCAGTTTCACTGGAACCGTACTTTTCTGACAGTGATTCCCAAATGACTTTTGCCGAATCTTGTTTGACATAGACGTCGAACAAATCGTCATTCATTTGTGACAGCAGGTATCCTCTGGCTGCCGCATTGTCATTTCTAAATTGAATCAGAGTTACACCCGGTTCTTGACCCGGAATGTAATCTATTTCAGGACTGCTTTCTCTCGATTCTTCACCCGGAGTGTAATAAGGTTCATGATTACATTTTGTAGCACCAAATGGAGAGAACACTGTTGGAGAAGGTTCAGGTGCAACTGAATATAACACGTAAACCAACTTTAATTGTACAAAAAGAATAAGCATTCTTTGAGCCCACCTGCTGTAATTTTTTCCATCAAGCGCGGTGATTTTTGATAGATCCGGTATGACAGAAGGTGCCATAATGCTAAAGGTTGACTGTTGCACAATAACGCTTTTAATTGTTGGGGAAAATCGCAACGTCAACGCACGATCTGGAAGCCTTTTAAGAAGCACGGACACTATGGGTGTATGGTAGAAAGAAAATATGTGTCGTGTTATAATAACACTACCTTAAAAGCGTTATTTGCCCGGTAACGGTGCAGTTAGAACCCTGACACGCTTTCGACAGGCTACACAGACCTACTACGGATAGCTTGCACTAGCAATCACGTAGGCAAACCTCACTATTGCTCAGACGAAGGGAGGGAGAAGGAGAATAGAATAAATGACTCAAATTCAAGGTGTATTTTGAAACGATGTTGGGAGCTGCTATTTATAGTAAGCAGCCCCTCCATCCCACCCACATGATGAACACAGGGTTTTGTCCACATTTTAGCGCCTTTGGCGCTACTCCTTACATAGGAGCGCATTGTGCGCTACCATGTAATGAAATGGGTTTCCCATTTCATAATCCAATGACAAAGTCAAAGGGGTGAGGTGGATATGGAAGCTTTCATTTTTTAATTTTCCCAACATATATTGTATCGATTTATTCACCGATTTCCAACATATTTCTCACTAAATACTTAATATTGTCAATGAGTACTCCTGAGGGTGAGCAAATTAAAGTTGTTTTGCATGGAGTTCCTGTATGACAATTGTGGCATCCACCTCAACTTGAATTTGATGTATGCCTCCTCCTTTACCTGGTACTTTCCTTTCCACAGTTTGACTTTTGCAGCTACAAATTTTGCCCTCCTCATCCATCATAACACAGCCAAGGCCCATAGAGTTTTTACTTGATTTGAGCACAACATCTACATTCAATTTTAGCCATTCGGGGTTTGGCTTCGCCCATTGGGATCCACTCTACTATTGGAGACTATGAAACAAATGATGTTGAACTTGAAATCAGTGTAGATGAGTGTGATTCTGATTGGGAGAAGGGGGATTCTGCAGATCATGAGTTTAATGGCAGTGACTATATGAGAATAAGCCAAGTAGAGTTGATGACTTAGAGTTTTTGAAGTACATTGATCCAAATGTTGAGTATGCATGTCTTGAGAGGGGTGACCACTATTGGAAATTATGAAATTTCCGACCACCTGAAAGTGATCTTAAATCAAGTCGAAAGCCTTATTCCGACCACTTTTGGTATCCGAAAAAATCTTTGTTGCTATTTTCGACCACTTTTTGGTATCAACTTGATTTAAGATCACTTATAGGTGGTCGGAAATTTCATAATTTTCAGTAGTGGACCAAAGAATGGATAGTGACCAAGTTGAAGCTAATCAACAAGTCACTCAGCTAGAAGAGATACCAATTCACACACAACTTGAATATGCTAGTGACTTTTAAACAATTCCAATAAACATCCAGATCCAGCATGAAGACCCTACCTTTGAGTTTGAAATTCCAATTGAATTAGTACATTTATCAATTGATGAGATTCCATGTCAGGATGTTTGTAACTCCCATTGTTATATACTCCCGCCGTCCCTAATTGATTGTCTCATTTACTTTTTACACGATTTTTAATACAACGTAACAAATGTTAACTTTTCAATTTTGCCCCTCAAAAGTAGATGTTATTTATACGAGTTTTTTCCCATTTTGGTTCCTTTACTATGGCTCATTCTCAATTTTGCATTCCGACTTATAATTGCACCCAATGTGGTCTCTTGACTTTTGAAAATTACCCCAATTTAGTCCTCCGTTACATTTTCCATCATTTAGGCGTTAAGTAGGAGGGCATTTTGGTCCTTTCATTGCCACCGCGCCTTCCCCAATTGCCATCCCCTTTACATATTCATTTCTTCTTCACGGCTGAGCAAAAATAACACCAAGAACCCTAAATTACTTTGATTTCTTCTTCCTCTCTTGCGTACGATGTCAACATAGTGGAGGCAAAACACCAAGGTTTCTTATTCATCGTCATCATCTTCGCCAAGACAGAGGTACCACTACGGCGATGCAATCCCTACGCGTATATGCAATTGTGGCAGCGAATGGAGCATTCAAACCTCTTGGAATAGCAAAAATCCCGGGCGGAGGTTTTGGGTTTGTGTAAGGAGCATTTCAGGTTCAATTTTTTGTTACAAATTTCTCAATTATTACTTGTTGTAAGAATTTTTGAATTTGTTGATAGGATGGTGTCGGATGTGGATTCAAGGAATGGTTCGATCCTCCCATGTGTTCACGTGCGAAGAAGATTATTCCCGGCTTATTAAGAAGCAAAAATAGAAAAGATGAGGAGATTGAGAGGTTAAAAGCAATTGCAGTGCCCTCAGTTGGTCGTGGAAGTAATTGTAATTGTAATTGTAATTGTGGCAAAAAAGGAGGCTTTAGGTTTATGATTAAATCGTTTGTAGTAATTGTTGTAGCATTTAGTATGTTTTACTTGTACCACAAAGCTGTTGAAACTGGGAGTAATAGTTGTAGACTCCCTATAGCATGATGTGTACTTTGTTTGTTGTGGCACTTGTTTATGAATGGAAGTTTACTTTGCTGGAATTGTGTTTAGTTTTTAGAATGCAAATGAAACTGGAACTGGAACTTAGCAATATGCAACTGTAAACAAGTGAACTGGAACTGGAACTTAGCAAATGAAAAGGAACTGGAACTGTAAACAATATGCAACTGTAAACAAATGAACTGGAACTGGAACTTAGCAAAATGAAACTGGAACTGTAAACAATATGCAACTGGAACTGTAAACTGGAACTATAAACTGGATCTGTAAACTGGAACTGGAACTTAGCAAAATGATAAACTTCATTGATGGTGGAGTATTCAAAACACGGAAGCTTTACAATGCTAAAGGGAGTATTACCCACAAGCAGTTTGCATTATCCAAAACCACTACAATTACACCCACCAAAAGACAATGCTAAAGGGAGTATTACCCACAATCAGTTTGCATTATCCAAAACAACTACAATTAGAACAATCCAAAACAACTACAATCAGTTTTCACATAATTTGAAGGCCTTAATCAATCTCGATTGGTTCGGAGGCTGTGTTCTTGATTTTGTAGTCAAAGAAGACGAAGACCTTGTTTTATACTTCCTCCCTGTAGGCTGAGCAACTTTTTGTTTTTTCTTTGTTAAACCAAGGGTCTTTTGCCTTCTGAGAGGGGCAGGTGGAGGTGCAGTACTAACTTGCTCTTGTACAACAGTAACAACTTGCTCTTGAACAACAGTAACTTGCTCTTGAACAGTAGGTAATGGCATCTCTTCATGTGCTTCAACCTCAATCTCTACTTGGTAATCATGTTGAACTAATACTGAGCTTGCATCTTGAATAAGAATCTGTATGAAAGTAATCATGTTAGGTAAAACAAGCAGTTTGTATGAAAGGAATGTGACTAAGTTAAAACTTACATCAAACATGGCTGCTGGTACATCAACCTCATCTGCTCTTGCATCTTGATTTGTTCTGCTGCTTTGTGGCTGGTTTCTTTGTGGTTGAGGGTTTCTTTGTGACTGGTTTCTTTGTGGTTGAGGGTTTCTTTGTGGCTGAGGGTTTCTCTACAAACATAAAACAGTATAAGTAAATGTAATACATGGAAAAAATTATAACTAAAACTAGAATGTAATGTAATACTTCTGCTCTTGCATCTTGATTTGTTCTGTTGCTTTGGGGCTGGTTTCTTTGTGGCTGAGGGTTTCTCTACAAACATAAAACAGTATAAGTAAATGTAATACATGGAAAAAATTATAACTAAAACTAGAATGTAATGTAATACTTCTGCTCTTGCATCTTGATTTGTTCTGTTGCTTTGTGGCTGGTTTCTTTGTGGCTGAGGGTTTCTTTGTGCCTGAGGGTTTCTCTACAACAGTAACAACTTACAGGTTAATGTAATACATGGAAAAAATTATAACTAAAACTAGAATGTAATGTAATACTTACAGGTTTCAGTGGGCATCTCCAACTATTATGGCCTCTTTGTTTACAGAATGTGCAATGTAATACCACATGACTTCTAGACATATGGACGTCATCCTTTGTGATTTTCTTTTTTTCCTTGGCTTCATCAGCTCCTCTCAACCTCAGTCTCCTTGGCCTCCCAGGTTTTGATTTGTATTCAGGTGGCAAGGGTGCTTCTAAATGAGAATGAGGCCACTCATTTGGTCCAGCCATTGGATTAATGCCTAATACATACACCTTCAAGTATGTTTCAACACTGTAGCAGTTATGTACATAGTCTAGCACATTGTGTCTCTTCATCCAGATTGCACAAACTTAAGTAGTGCTAAGAACCAAGTCCATGATTCCTTGTTTTCACCCTCAACTATTGCATAGGCAAGTGGGAAGATCCCATCATTGGGATCCATGGCAGTTGCAGTCAACAAATAACCACCATACTTTGATCTCAAATGGCAACCATCAATCCCTATAATCTTTCTGCAATGTAGGAAACCCTTCATACAAGCCTCCCAACATATATACCATCTTAGAAATCTTGATTTTCCTCCTGCTTCTACACTCTCACTCATCTTCACAATTGAACGAGATCTTGGATTTGATCTTTCAATCTCCAAGTAATAACTCCAAAACTTTTTGAAATAATCTTCAAGCTCACCATTAATAATAGCTCTAGCCATTGTCATTGCCTTATAAGCAACCTTAGAGGTGATATGGAAGTGGTCATCAGTAGCCACTCTCTCCTTGAACTCACTGACTCTCCAGCTTGAATTACTGCCTATGTCTTTTTTCCACCTCTTAGCTAGTCTGCTGGACCTTACAGATGAATTCTCCCACACCCAAGAGCAGCCATCATGAGTGTCATTGAATGAAGTAACCCTCCAGCAGTTCACATCCTTAATCCATCTCAGGGTTATTGACCATGGACAACCAATTTTCTTGCACTTCACAATACATCTTACCTTGTCATTCTTTTCAAACTTTATATCTTTCCCTTCTTTGAATGCATAACTCACTATGGCATCCTTAAAATCTTTTTTTTTTTTTTTCTGAAAATGTCATTCCAACAGTGAGAGTAGGGTTCTCCATGTCACAACTTCTAAACTTTGACCAAATGTCATCCTCTACTTCCTCATCACTTCCATGAGGTGTCTCATCATCAGAATAGTTCACTTGGACATTCATTTTATCATTTTCAGATTTCACATCTTGCAGAGTAGTGGTTGGTCCTATCCCATGGTATTCTACAGTGGGATCTACTGCTTTTTCAAAATGAATATCATCCTCACCTAGACTACGCAATTCTTCTTCATCATCATCTTCATAGTCAGGATCTTCTTCAACTTCAACCTCACCCTGAGCTTCATAATCAGAATCTTCTCCCACTTCAACCTCAGTTTCAGCTTCATAATCACACTCTAATTCCACTTCAACATCAGTCTCAGCTTCATAATTTAACCCTCCAATGTTGATCCACACTTCTACTTCCCTTTCCTTATCACTAACATCAATTAAATCCCAGGCTTCACTATCTAAAATGACCTCAATTAAACCTTCACCCACAACAATATATACCTTACATTCACTCATTGTGTAGCCTAACTCTATGACTTTGTCTTGTAAAGCCATAAACCCCTATTCATCAACATCCATGTAGTCAAAATAATCTACATGACCTCCGACATATGTTACTGGCTCACTCATTAATATTTTACCACCATGCTTGAGCTTAAGTGTAAATCTATTTTCATCAATGTCATCTGAATGATTACAAAAAGAAATTATATTTTTACACACAGAAACTATAAACATGGATTATAAAACACATATACAATAGATAAGACTTGCAGTTCAATAAACAACAACAAAAAATCAACACAATGGTCCCCACACACTATATTTTACAAACAGAGACCAAACACTGCTCTCCAGTGGTCCCCCCAGCACCCCATTATGCAAACATTTATACAGTTACCCAACAAAAAAGGCAAACACACATTTCTATATATTCTGTCTGATGTTCCCCTCCACAACCCATCGTTAATAAACCATATATACGCCTCACATTCACACTCAGACAATGTAACCACATATACACAAAGTAAGAAAGTGTTTCCACTACTGAAAGTACAAAGTAAAGGTGGAATACTACTGTAAATTTTGCAAAACACATGGAATAATTCAAAAAGCAATACTGCATCCATAAATAAAAGTTTGCGTACCATATATTGGCAATGTAGCACTCCCAGACCTCCGGCGCCCCATCCAGACCTCCGGCGAGTCGTCGTAGTCTCCTTCTCCTTCGTCAATTTTCTCCTTTGTCAATTATGTGAATTTTAGATTCTAGGGTTTAAGGTTTTTGCTAATTGCATAAAAGGGGCATAATCTGTGAATTTTAGGAGGGAAACGGCAGTTGGGGAAGGCGCGGTGGCAATGAAAGGACCAAAATGCCCTCCTACTTAACGCCTAAATGATGGAAAATGTAACGGAGGACTAAATTGGGGTAATTTTCAAAAGTCAAGGAACCACATTGGGTGCAATTATAAGTCGGAATGCAAAATTGAGAATGAGCCATAGTCAAGGGACCAAAATGGGAAAAAACTCTTATTTATACAAAGTACAATTGTACTTACCTCTAAAAATTTGATAAGTCAAAAGGGTAAATTAGAAAAGAGTAAATACCCAAAATGGTCCCTCAACTATAGCTAAATTCACAAATTGGTCCTCGACTTTCAATTTTAACCAATTAAGTCCTTAACTTTGCAATTTTAACACGATTTGGTCCTTCGAACACTTCTGCATTAACGCTGGCGCCCGCGCCGTCATCGACGATCTCCAGAAGAACCCGCAGCTCTCACCGGAGCACATGGAGGCCTCTAGAATGACACTGCACCGGTTTGGAAACACGTTGTCTTCTTCACTCTGGTACGAACTCAACTACATTAAATCCAAAGGGAGGATGAAGAAAGGCGACAGGATTTGGCAGATTGCTTTCGGCGGGGGATTCAAATGTAACAATGCGGTCTGAAAATGCAACCGGAACCTTAAAAAATCGACGATGGACCATGAAATTACATATATATCCTCAAAAATCACAGTCAACAAACGGTCAAATAGACGGAGGACTAAATCGTGTTAAAATTACAAAGTTAAGGACTTAATTGGTTAAAATTGAAAGTCAAGTACCAATTTGTGAATTTAGCTATAGTCGAAGGACCATTTTGGGTATTTACTCATTGGAAAATATAGAGTGATAATTATGTTCAATTTTGAAAAGTTAAGAATTTAATTGGATTTAATCAATAGTTAATGACCAATTTTTTAATTTTGCTATAGTCGACGGATTGAGTATTAAAAAAGGGAAATTCTACAAACACTACCTGACGTGGCACATTGCCACATTAGCATTTTCCCTTTTTTTGGTTTCTTTCCTGAGAAGCCACATTAGGCGGTAAATTTGCTTGTATTTTGTCGCTCTTCAATCTTTTCTCCTTTTTGCAATTATTACAGAGTCATAGCTTAACATCAAGATTGTTGAATTTTTTTATTTGGATCAAAGAACACTAAGATGTATTTGCAGAAGATGTATATGCTATTTACATATATATGTAGAAGATGAATTAATTTTCAAATTTTTAGCTAAAGAAGATTGTAGGCAATGGGAGTCGCAACTCCAGCTTATATAGAAAGTGGGATTTCAAGATGACACAAAACAAGAATATGAATATGCATAAAAATTACTACAATTTATTTTGGGCGAAACTCAAAAGAATTGACAAAATAACACTGGCATAATATAATTTGGTCTGATCCCAAAACCATATTAGCCCTATGGAACAAAGGGGCATGTATGAAAACATGAGATCACATTGTCCCAAACTTCATTCTTGTCCTGTCTATTACAAAAACAGGAACAAAAAAAAAAAAAAAAAAAACTTTAATCAAGTAAATTTATAGATTCACCAAATGCAAGTTTTTCTAGTTCTGTTGGGGGGAGGGTGGTTACAACTTGCAAGAATCTAACACTAGATCATCGAATATTGGCGAAGCACATCAACCAGCAGGACAGATTGCTGCGGGCCTTGCCCAGTCTTCCAGACGCAAAATTGAGGATGAAAGTAAGAATATAAGTACCATTCACGCAATTGGATTAGCGTAAAGGGGCCCTGAACTGCACCTTGAGGATCCATGTAGTACCATATCTCTCCATCTAGAGGGGGTGGGCACGCACTGATTAGTTGATTGCCATTTGCGATAGCACCATCGTCATCATCACTCAATTCAATGACCTCAGATTCCTTCACTGCTTCTGGGAGTGTCCATCAAAGCAATTCATTTGGCTCAGATCGTTAGAATATGATAACAAAGTATATAGATTCAGTATAAATGGGTTAAAATCATAACGCAAGAGGTAACTTTCAAATTGTTTATATGCTAGAAATTTATTAAATGGATTACCTTTAAAAGAAGAATACAGGTTTCTTGTTGGGCTTGTCGCAACTTGCAGACTAAGGGCCGTCCCTATATGGATAGTAAATTCAGACTTTACTGTGTTTGACAAACTAATAACTGGGATATTGTAAGGTGGAAAGAGGAAGAGAAAATAATTTCACTGGGAGCAGATTATAACTTTATCTTAAGTTAATTGCTCATCCTTTATCCTAATGTCAGCCAGTTCTTCAAGCCAATTACCATTCACCACTAACCAAATTCAGAACAATATCAGTTATAAAGGCACCTTCCACTTCTTTGAATATCAGATCACCCACTGATTCCCTTAACTTTTTAGAATGAAAAAGAGTAAACTGCCTGTGCGTGTGTGTGTGTGTGTGTGTCTGGGTGTTTAAAAGTTAAAATCACTATACCAATTACAAGCTTTCCAAAGGTTCTTTTTGACGTATGTGTGTGTGAGAGAGAGAGGCTGAGAGGTAGTGCATTGTTTCCACACCCAGAAGGCGATGATTAGTTAACCATTTTAACCCATGTGTCAGATCATCAGATAATTCTTTTTTTGAATGCTACTGACTCTATTACATTGTAGTATCTGTTCAACCATACTTTCTCAACCTAATGAAGCACACAGAGTCAACAACGTCTCCATTGAGGCTCGATCTCATGACCTCCCACATGGGAGAGGTCACTACATGTCATCTGATCATCAGATAATTCTATTTAAATTAAAATCCTTAAATTCAACGAATAAAAGTAATACATAGAAACAAATAAGCAATTTCTAAATAGCATATCGCATCACACCACTTTACCCAATTAATTAATGCAAAAGGTGGATTCATATAAATACCTGCAGCAAGCAAATCAGAAGGCTCACTAAGAGTAGATACTGGGAAGCACTTGACTGCTCCCAGTTCTTTTGAAGCATCCAATGGCATAGTTTCCTTTTCTGGTTTTTCTGGAGCATCCAAAGGCATAGTTTCCTTTTCTGGTTCTTCTGGAGCATCCAACAGCACAGTTTCCTTTTCTGGTTCTTTAGCTTCTGCCTTTAGATTCTCACCAAAAAGTCTAGCCTGCTCAGGTTCTAGAGAGCCACTTTTTCCTTCATCTCTTTCTGAAGCACCTGCCTTTGTAGCTTCAGGTTCTAGTTCTTCAGCTACTACCTTTGGCTTCTCTGACAACAATCTTTCTTGCTCACTTTCTGTCATGAGCAGCTTCCTTTTCTGCAAGTAATCATATAATGTGAACTCTAGAGCAGGTAAAGGAAATCATGATGGTTCATGGCTGCCAATCTTCTATGAGTTTTCTAACTTTATATTCATAGAAGCATCAACAGAAGGGGACAATTGACACCTTTTTGGATCAAAGAATTTATCAAAGTAATGCTCTTAGACCCAAGCAGCTTCTTGTTAAACAGATACTTCAAACACTAGAAAAGAGGATTTTCATTGTATCCCTCTACTCAATCCAAATGCTTTATAGAATTTAAAAACGAATGGAATAGAACATATAATTAAATATAGTTATATGTTCAAGTATAGGCAACGTCACCACCTCAAAAAGCAAAAGAAATCTCAATATATGGTTTTGAACATCATGGCCTTAACTATGCATTCGAGAAATCACCAAAGACTTAAATTACAAAAACTAAAAATCAGGTAGATAAGGTTCATATGAATCCTCAATTTACCTTGGAGGTTAATAGGATCTTGAGGCTTTGTTCAGGGGTTAAGAATTTTTTTATTTTTTAGGTAGTTGTTTTGTTGGGAGACACATTAGAATAAGATAAGGGTTCCACTAGTGAACTTACAAAAGAAAAAAAAAAAAAAAAAAAAAAAAAGTCTAACTTGCAATTTGCAAGACTTTGACATTGCAAAGGATATTCTCTCCGCCATCCCTTTTCATTCGCGTGATCGATGCGCCTTTGTAACATTTTGATTTCTTTTTCAATCCACTGTAAAATAAAAATAAAAATGAGAAAAAAAAAAACAAAAACATTGCATGTTTAAACTTTAAAGGAAAGATCAGAACCAGAAGGAGAGAATCCATATCAACAAATAATAGAAATGAAAGGCATAATCTTATTAATTAATGAAATAATAGGAAGCCTCTTTAGAAAGGAAGTGAAAAGCTTTGTACAGCACGACCCACAAAGATATTTGCTAGTGCCTTTTAAGGTGAATAGTGTGTCATTTTTGGCTAGGCTCTACTGGTTTTTCATCATGGACCATGGAGCAGTTGATTATTGCTGAAATGGTTAATTGGTTATTCAAAGGGGAATTTCTGGTTTATTCAAAGTGCATTGCTGCCAGCTCTTTTGCCCCGGACAAAATTAGATTCACAATTCAGAGAAGAGATTAAGCATATAAACATCTCCTCCATCATACTTTTTTCTGAAAAGTACATCTTTTATTTACAAAAAGGCACCAAGCAGGTCCACATAATTAGATGTCCTTTACTAAAGTATGATTTGTGAAAATAAAAGCATTAGTGACAATGATATAGAAAATTAAGAATTTCCATTTATTCTTTGCGATTGACATGAAAATAAATATTTATTATCAAATAGGTGATGAAGCACTATAATTCTGTAAATTGTGTGAACAAGAAGCCATCTAAAAAAGCGGTAAGAAAAGCAAAAACTACCAAAATAAAGAACTCAAATTAATCAATTCTCTCGGCACATCTTGAAAAGGCATTCTTTGAGAATTATTGGCAGCCCTATCCCATGAAGTTGTCAAAAGAACCGCTCTATCCCATGAAAGATGCATAGCAACCAAAGTTACCAAACAGATCAAATAAGCCAAAATTTTACACATTCTACAACAAATTCCCCCCCTCCATAGTCCTCTAGGAACCCCAAACCCTAACAAGCACGCTTGGTTCCTAGAATAGGTCGAGGATAGAATGACATCTTGCAGTCTGTGTGTGTGTGTATTCTGTTTTGCAGGATAGAATAGCATTCTTATTTTGTTCCTTTCTCTATTTCTTTCTGTGAACCAAATGGGCCATAATAGAATCTTTAATAAAACCAGTCAGGCTTCAATCTGTGAAGAACATAAGAATATAGAGTTCATTTATATTGTATGTTCTTTTAATACACCATTAGTGTAGAATCTTGTCATACGTCTAGACTAAGAAGAAACCTTCTTTGGATCTATAATGAATTTTGGAGAGGCAGACTCATTCTTGACAGAGCCACCCACTATGCTGCCTTTTGAAAGAAATAATTCTCTTTATTGAATACAAGAACCCCTTTTATAGGCTAGCTAGTAACCAGGGCAAGAGATCCTAAATTACAGTATCCTAACCAAATAAAGAATTCTACTGAATAGAAAAAAAAAAAAAAAAAAAAAAAAAAAAAAAATCTAACAATTAAAGGAAACAAAATAAAACTAATAAAGAAAACAAAATAAAACACTAATTGGTTAAGCTAAGCAGTATCTACTGTTGTTGTCTTCCTTCTATAATATTGTCGTCCAACAAAAGCACCCATATCTCATTATAGCATTTATAGTGGAGCTTCCCATCCATTAACATATCAAAGAAACAGAAATTCAGAATAGGAGTACCTCCATACTCCCAAATTTTACCAACATATTCAAAATATGTACTAACAACCTCATCCAAAGCTCCTCTACAAATGTTAGTGGGGAAATTTTTAGTTTCCAATGAAAAAAAAATCAATGAAATGGACATTGATTAGCATTTTCAATAAAGCAGAACAATTTGGCATATGAACTTAGATCCTAGATCCTAACATCACATGAGGTTAAGAATTGTAGGTAGCCATCCCATTTAATAACAAAGTCCCCTACCATTAAAATAACAGAATAAATGTAATTGCCAAAGGGCATGCTTGAGATGAAAAGGAAGGATTAATATGAAAGAACCATACATTTTGTTAAACTTTTATCTTGACGATATAATTTTTAAAAAAAAAATGGAAAGAAAGAAAAAGAAACACATACATGTTTGGTGATATCCTCATGTAGAACATGGGCCTTTAATTCAAGCTCCACCTGTCAAAAAGTCAAATTTAGTGAAGGACTCGGCAAATGCCAGACAGAATTGTTATCACCGAATATAAGATCTAATACATATAAGGTATAACCAATTGTGCTTCATCATTTAGGAAAACTATCAAAGGTTTAAATGCCCGTAAAGTAAAAATCTGTCAGAAGAAGGAAATAATGTTGGATAGACGCTTGGATCAAATATTGTCCTTCAAAACTAAATTGCTTAAAAAACAGCATGTATGATTGAATGAATTTACCCTCCCTTGCCTAAGGCATTGAATTTATAAGCATAGGATGCACCATTACTTGACAAAATAAGAAGCAAGGAAAAGAAAAACTTGTAGGAAAGTTCAAGAATTATTAGTTAAAGCCTAGAGGAGACAATACATGAAGAGAGAGAATCACTCATTTTGTTGCACTTAGCATCTTATTGATATTTCTAACGCTGAAGTTTGGGTATACAAATTATGCTAGAGCGTCTTGTTTCAGTTAAAATTTCTAACGCTGAAGTTTCACCATTATTGCTTGCCAACAAATCCTAGAATCAATATAGAAGGACCAGTGATGTTTATATAATCTTACAACAGTAAGTCTCTTGAGCAAGCCAGCTTTTACTCTTTCACGCAAATCCTCACATTCTCCCTGAAAAACATATGACAAGATAATTACTAAAGAGAACAAACTAAAGTCTAAAAGTAAGTTATGAATTATGATAGGCTTGATGTTCTAGCTTTTCAGCTTTTGATATCTAAAACCAGGAAATCCCCCCTACTTTGAGAAGCCAAAGAACAAGTCATTGATGGAGAAAGAAAATCTAGAAGAATCTTGCAAGGAGCCGTCCATAAACAGCACCCAAGTGATATGCTTCATGTACTAGTTTTGATATCTAAGACCATTACCCCTCTATTTGAGAAGCCATAGAACAAGTCAATAATGGAGACATCCCAAGATTGATCTATAATTAAAAGTTACACATGCATGAACAGAATTTATTAAGGTTCAATGAATTTTCAGTACATTGCTCCTTTTACATTCTAATAAAAAGAATTAATTTTCTTCTCAAATAGCTGGACGTTTACATAATTATGTCAGACTGGATTTAGAATTATCATCCACCATTTACCCGAGTGGGAAAAGATACAAACCTTCATAATCACAAATTTTAGCACCAATTTCCCATATCCTAGAGAAATAAAACTAAATTTAAAGAAAAAAAAAATTATATGCTTTTTACCTCTGAGAAGTCATCCTCCGACAATGAAGATATGAGAACATCTTTTGTCCAATTTGAAAGCTGAAGGTAAGTTTCCATACCAGCATCTCCAGACCCAAATGTCTTCTTGACACCTATAAAAGGATTTGACATTAACACCAAAAGAAATAGCAGCAAAATGAGAGAGAGTATATGGAAAGGAGGAAACAACAATGATATTAAGAGAATGTAACTGAAAGTAAAACTTTTGAACAATCAGTCTCTTGATCAGCCATGGAGATTCATAACTAAGATATTTAATTATTTGGCAGTGACCTGGTTAAAGGAATACTAGGAGAACATGGAGATCATGCCAAAGCAACACCTCTCAACATGGAGAGAATACATTTGTTCCACAATTGTAAATAATAAAATTGTAACAGAAGAGGCAAATTAGTTTTACTCTTGTTGAAAAAATAGAAAACTTTCATGCTTGCCAAAGCATGTGCTTTTTATAAGATTCGTAAATGTAGCCTCTAAAACTCAGCGATGTGGCTGTGAAACCTAAAATAAAAACCACATATACCCAAAGCCATTTGCAATATAGTTCCCTAAAAAGGTAATTAACTAGTATGGATGGCAATTCATATCCAACTTGTGGGTGACTGCTCCTTATTTCTGAAAATGTATGGGTCTTATTTCTGATGTAAATTATAGATTTAAAAAAATAAATAAATAATTAAAAAAAAATTACTTCTTGTTTTGTATCATAGTGGGGGTATCAATGTACATGCTGATAGAAGTCATAGAACAATGAAAGTGATTCTTACACTTAGTGAAGTATTTGAAGGAGCTTACCTAGCATAAATGCACTTATTATATGCAATCCTTTGCAATGATAAACTTTTGAGGGTAGTACCTGTAACTTGCTGAAGCTGGTGAGAATTTTTCTGGAGGAAATCATTTGGATCAGATTTGATCCTCACAAAGCTGCCCACTACTTTATCTTCAAAGCTCTCATCGCTCTTCAAGAGACTCTGAAGTAAGGTCCTCTTCAAATAAATAAGCTTAATATTTTGAGAAGTCAGTGCTGCAAAACAGCTTTTGGGAGCCTCCTGGACTTTCTTCTTTTGAGGTATTGATGTCTTCCTTTCCTTTGATACCAAATAACCATCCTCCCCTTCTGCATCCTCCTGTGCTGAACTGCTTTCTTCATCTGAGTCATCACGATTCTCAATGAAGTGCATTCCCAACAAATCATAAATCTTAATCCTAGGAATTGATTTCTTTCCAAAAAGAGTCTTAAGTTTTTCATCACATAAGATTCTCTTCTTCTTTTTTGGATTAAGAAGGTTATTAGAATTTACATAATCAAGGATAATGGCATTCACCTCATGCCTAGAGTACTCTCTACTAGTTTCTCTACCAATTGATTGTAGAAATTCAATCAAAGGTTTGGATCCCCATCCAACAAATTCTAATTTTTTTGATTTAAAACTCCTTTTCCTTTTTAATGGAAAGGGGAACTGATCTTTAGTTTCCTCCACCCAGAAGCCTGAATCTGCTTTCATATTGCTAGAGGCTTAGAATTAGGCAACATGCTAGCCCCAGAGCATTTCATATGGCATTTCCAGTCTTTGCAAGGAATACAAGGAAGTTTAATTTGCAAGTTTTGACCTGGCATATGATAACTGATCAGTTCATGAGTTTGAAATAAACAAGCAAATGTACAGGATTATATGATCAAGGAAGACAACATAAAATGTAAAATACCCAGAAAAGAAAAGGGGGGGAGGGGGGAAAGAGGTAATCGCAATAGATTAATCACTTTATCACTTAGAAACTAACAGCCATAACAACCTTATTAAATGGACTGAAAACAAGCCAATGCCAGAAATGCAAAAGATATGCTATTGAAAATTTAGACCAGCATCTACCATATCATAGCTAGAGCAAGTCAGTATGCTAAATTTGCAAGATTATATGATATCAGCAAAATAAGTTTATTGGTTTACTGTAGCATTTTCACTTTTTTTTTTTACATTGAAAACTTCCAAAACTAGTTCTACTCTAAGAAAACTTTAAGCTATAAGTGCTATAGAGTATTGAATTATTGATACAGCAAGTTTAGCATAAGTAGAGTAGGAATACTCTCTTTCACTGTAGGATATAGCTTTATGCACAGAGATGGAGTTAATATAGGACCTCTCTTTCAAAACAGCTAGTTTTGGTAAAACAAATTTGCAAATAATATGCACAGAGACAGAGTCAAAGCAATAGGAAAAGCCCACAAGAAGTACTAAATATTTACAAAATGATCAGATTTGAAAATAAAAATAGAGCAATAAGGAAGTTTGGAACAACCCCTTTATTCTCAATATCATACCTTCATATTGTTAAAAGAAACAACTTTGACCAATGCAAATATTAGCTTCTTTATAACAAATTCATGTTATAACAAATCCACAACCATGAAGAAGAACCAAATCACTTTCTGCCTCTCTTTGTAATCTAAGTTCATGGTGCCTAGCAAATTGCTGCAGTAAACCTGGTCTGATTTTCTGCAATCTAAAGCCTTGAATCTTAACTAAACCCCTAATGACTTGGAACTCTGCAAGAATCACTCTCCCACTCAACCTAGAGATCTCCGTATGCCTGTTTTCTCTTACAATTTCTTATCACAAAGTTTTAAGTGATAAAATGGAAGAGAATCCAGGTGCATTATTTAACTCTTAGTTGATCCCCTTAACATCTTTGTTTTAAGCAACTTCTACCTCCATACTTGCACTAACAGAATTCACCAAAGCACACAATTTACCCTAGACAATAGTCTAAGAACAATTAGTAATAGTCCAACAGATAAATGAAAAGCATTTCCTATTGCTGAGGCCCCATAGCACCATAACTGATGGATTTCTCACCTGCTGTCTAAGATTCTTTATTTTAAGTACCCTCTACCCTCCATGCTTGGACTAACAGAATTCACTAAAGCACACTATTTGCCCTAAACAATAGACCAAGAACAATTAGTCATTAGTCAAATACCCTCACTATTTTTTCTTTTTTTCTTTTTTAAATAACAAGAATTCATCCTTACAGCAATCAGTCGGTTGGTCTAATAAGAATTTATCATCAAATATTCACAAATTCCATACCTACTTCATTGAGAATTCAACTTTTGCAACACTTTCCTCTATTTCATTACAAGCATCAAGAACCTCAATGCTTCCCCAGAACAGAATATTTGGAAATTGAAACACTCATTAACCAAAACCCGGTGTTTTGTTCTTACTTTTGCAGAAATAAATGACTTTCGACCACTCCAAGAAATGCAGAACCATAAATACGATAACTTGGCAGCAACAACAAGTCCCCCCTGCGACAGAACAGAGGATATATATATATAAAAGCAAATAATAAACTGACAAAAGAAAAATGAAAATGATACGCTCTTTTAATCGAGTAAAACTGTAAAATGAAATGAAGATTAAAAATAAAAAGAAAAGTATAAACCTTAACAAACATACTTACCCTAATAGAAACTCTGGGTTGCTAAACAACTGGAAAATTTGTACGCTGAATGTGGATTGTACATCTTGATGAATAGGGAAAATAGGAAAGGTTATGGTAAACGAGGGAGAGGAAGAAAGCTCGTCGGAGGTGAGGAGGGCAGGTAGAGAATAGCAATAGACTGTGAGTTCAAATGATATCACCAGAGACTAAGCAGAATAAACTATTCGGAACGTTACGATACATTCGACAAGGCAGGCAATCGCAAACCAAACCTCCCCTAACAATAGGGTTTGGGTGATTTTTGAGGTGCGGGGTTTGGGTGATTTTTGAGGTGCCAAGTAAGAGAGAATAAAGAAAGAGAATAAGGAAAGTAAAGAAAAAAATAAAAATAAAGACAATGAAGAGCGTGCAATAACGGGGCGTTCGGGCGCGTGCAATGACGGAGCGTTATTGTGCGAGAAATGCGCAACCTTGCGTGTTGACCTTCTCTTTATCTGTGCCGCGGGATCCACGAAAAACCCATCATTGTCCTAGTCGTGAAGGCATGATGGTATGTAGAATCGACCAGTCGTATAGTAGGATACTTGATGAAGGCAGGCAGGAGGATGGACAGTAGGTTTAGCCAGTCGGGTAGCCAGATGGGACCTGTAAGCGGCCAATCGAATGACTACTGAAGGAGGAAGTCACACGGTCAAGAACCCGGGGGCTTAAAAGAGTCGCACTCGGTGGCATGGCTAGGCGAAGGGATGACTGGATGAGTTGCTCAGCGGGAGAGGAGGTTGGTCGACTCCTTAATGGGTTTGGGCAGATGACGAGATGTTAACCGTATCCATAGGAGATTTTGGGACGGATCTTACGAAAGGCGGAGGAAAACCCGAAGACTGTAAGGAAAGAAAATCAATTGTATTTATCACATGTTAGGATTACCTAAATTAGATCCTTGGTTACCTAAATTAGGTCATTTATAAAGAAAGAGAATAAGGAAAATAAGGAAAAAAAAAAAAAGAAAAATAAAGATAATGAAGAGTCGAGCGCGTGCAATGACGGGGCGTTCGGGCGCGTGGAATGACGGAGCGTTATTGTGCGAGAAACGCGCAACCTTGAGTGTTGACCTTCTCTTTATCTGTGCCGCGGGATCCACAAAAATCCCACCATTGTCCTAGTCGTGAAGGCATGATGGTATGTAGAACCGACCAATCGTATAATAGGATACTTGATGAAGGCAGGCAGGAGGATGGACAGTAGGTTTAGCCAGTCAGGTAGCCAGATGGGACCTGTAAGCGGCCAATCGGATGACTACTGAAGGAGGAAGTCACACGGTCAAGAACCCGGGGGCTTAAAAGAGTCGCACTCGGTGGCATGGCTAGGCGAAGGGATGACTGGATGAGTTGCTCAGCGGGAGAGGAGGTTGGTCGACTCCTTAATGGGTTTGGGCGGATGACGAGATGTTAACCGTATCCATAGGAGATTTTGGGGCGGATCTTACGAAATGCGGAGGAAAACCCGGAGACTATAAGGAAAGAAAATCAATTGTATTTATCACATGTTAGGATTACCTAAATTAGATCCTTGGTTACCTAAATTAGGTCATTTATAAAGAAAGAGAATAAGGAAAATAAGGAAAAAAAGAAAAATAAAGATAATGAAGAGTCGGGCGCGTGCAATGACGGGGCGTTCGGGCGCGTGCAATGACGGAGCGTTATTGTGCGAGAAACGCTCAACATTGAGTGTTGACCTTTTCTTTATCTGTGCCGCGGGATCCACAAAAAAACCCACCATTGTCCTAGTCGTGAAGGCATGATGGTATGTAGAACCGACCAATCGTATAATAGGATACTTGATGAAGGCAAGCAGGAGGATGGACAGTAGGTTTAGCCAGTCGGGTAGCCAGATGGGACCTGTAAGCGGCCAATCGGATGACTACTGAAGGAGGAAGTCACACGGTCAAGAACCCGGGGGCTTAAAAGAGTCGCACTCGGTGGCATGGCTAGGCGAAGGGATGACTGGATGAGTTGCTCAGCGGGAGAGGAGGTTGGTCGACTCCTTAATGGGTTTGGGCGGATGACGAGATGTTAACCGTATCCATAGGAGATTTTGGGGCGGATCTTACGAAATGCGGAGGAAAACCCGGAGACTGTAAGGAAAGAAAATCAATTGTATTTATCACATGTTAGGATTACCTAAATTAGATCCTTGGTTACCTAAATTAGGTCATTTATAAAGAAAGAGAATAAGGAAAATAAGGAAATAAAAAAAGAAAAATAAAGATAATGAAGAGTCGGGCGCGTGCAATGACGGGGCGTTCGGGCGCGTGCAATGACGAAGCGTTATTGTGCGAGAAACGCGCAACCTTGCGTGTTGACCTTCTCTTTATCTGTGCCGCGGGATCCACAAAAAACTCACCATTGTCCTAGTCGTCAAGGCATGATGGTATGTAGGACCGACCAGTCGTATAGTAGGATACTTGATGAAGGCAGGCGGGAGGATGGACAGTAAGTTTAGCCAGTCGGGTAGCCAGATGGGACCTGTAAGCGGCCAATCGAGTGACTACTGAAGGAGGAAGTCACACGGTCAGGAACCCGGGGGATTAAAAGAGTCGCACTCGGTGGCATGGCTAAGCGAAGGGATGACTGGATGAGTTGCTCAGCGGGAGAGGAGGTTGGTCGACTCCTTAATGGGCTTGGGCGGATGACAATATGTTAGCCGTATCCATAGGAGATTTTAGGGCGGATCTTACAAAAGGCGGAGGAAAACCTGGAGACTATAAGGAAAGAAAATCAACTGTATTTATGACATGTTAGGATTACCTAAATTAGATCCTTGGTTACTATAACAACCCAAAATTTAATTTCATGAATCCAATTTTAAGAAATTTTGAAATAGCCATTTTTTCACTCCGTAAAAATTTTTGCGATGAAATCGGTGTTGAATAAATTATTTTGAGCCACTTTCAAGTAAATTCAACATCGGGATTTATTTTAAATCTAAAATCCTAAATTTTCGGGTACTTTGCGTACCAAGTTTTAAACTGAGAAACCAATCTGAGTGAGACCGGGAGAAAACTGAACCAAGTGTTTGTTTGGAAATCTTTTTGGAAAAATACATTTTTGACTCCAAGTTATTCAAAAATAATCTTTCTAGACTATGGTTCATGATGCAAGGTGAACCCTACAATTTTATTTTACATATTTACCCCCCAAAACCCTAACTATAAGAGATAGTATTTTCCCTTTGTTGCACTATTCACTTAAAAGAAATCAGCAGCTCTCCTCTCTCATTTCTCTCGTGTCTCTCTCCATCTCCATCATCTTCTTCATTTTATAGCTTCTTCTAGCAAAGGCTAAGTTCAAGACTTGAGATTCTAAGTCTGGGTAAACTTCTCTCTTCTTCCCCCCTTTTCTATTTCTCTTAGCTTGTCTTTGAGATAAATTATCTAAGCTTAGATGTGTTATTGGGTATTGTGTTTGTAACACCCCCGATTTTCATGCCAATTTAAACCTTAATTATGCAAGGCAAACTAACCAACATATCATAAAAACGTAAACACAGCGGAAGTCTAATCATAAAATGGAGAAAACCAATGAGTGTTATGCCACGTTCACTCCAACGTGAACGCACAGGCAAAAACTAAAACCATCAATCTAATATGTTCAACATCAGTGGCACACAGGCCAAAACACAACTAAACTGTTCAGGGGATCTAAACTATCCATGTCTAACGCTCTCGCCATTTACTCAGGACCTGTAAAGCACATAAAGAAATGGGACGACGCCCGGTCAGCGAATATTGCTGGTAACCCATCAATACGCGTTTAATAGCATAAGTAGATAGTATAATAAAAAATCATTTTCGAAACAGAATTCAGTATATATCAGTTCAAAATCATAAAGAGAGAAGTCAACTGCAAAGACTCTATTTCACTCTCAAAAGAACAAGGGAATCAAAATCCCAAACATCATCAAGATAAGAACAACAACAGAACAACTCAACACCGCTCAAGATATAATCTACTGATCACAAAGTAAAAAATATCACGGCAAAGACAATGACAACAAACAAGTACAACTCGAGGTGTATTCTACTGATCACAAAGTAGAATACCACTCGACATACTCAACAGAAAAGGATAGACACACACACATTGGCACTACATGCCACCGTGACACTTCATGTCACATGTTCCAACCTTGTGCCCTGTTCCGACCTTATGGCTACCCCCAGCCTTATTACAGTTCCAACCATTACCTCCGAGAACCCTGTACTTCTGAGTCCAACCTTATGCCTCCGAGAACCGTCGTTCCCCCACCAACAATTCCACCAACACATAGTACACGAGGGTACCGTTCATTTCAATCACACAACCACCAACAAGTGAGCCTGAAGCCCATGAGCCTGAAGCCCATAAAACAACTCCAAAATAGCATTTCATGGCCACCACGAGGACCACATCTGTACCCTGGTGATTAATGTCCCATACCTTTAATCGTGCAATCCAGGTACAGCCAACACACACATCATCATAGGAATCAATCAATGGATCACAACAAAGATATGAAACCATACTCAATGAAGGAAATGATCACAATCCGACAACAACGATGATCAACACAAGTTATCATCCACAATAGGAAAGAACAAAACACACACGCTAGCATTTCAACATTAAACTAGGATGCTTATCAAACGGGTAAACCAAACATAGTTCCGAAGAACATAAAAAACTCATCATGGTTCAACGAATCACAAGGTTGAACACTTAGCACGATTCAAGACACCAAGTCCTACATGGATTCCTACCATAACGTTCTAGACATACGAAACATCAAGAAGACACTCAAATAGCCCAACAAAAGAACATCAGGAAGTTAAAACATCAATTACCGAGTCAAAAGAATCACGGGGAACAAATCCCCAAACATCACCATTGTGTACCACGCGGGTGGGGCCACGGGTGGACCTCCACCCGTGGTTCCGCCTGCGGGAACCACTTCCCACGAGGCATGTACCCCGCGGGTGGGGCGGCGGGTAGGCCACTGCCCGCTGTTCCGCCCGCGGGTACAACCTGTACCAACAATAATCCCTTCGAGGATTTTCAACACAAAGTCCAAATTCAAGTCCAAAACACCCAAAATCTCACAAAATACAACAACATGACTTGAATCAAAGTAATAGCCAAGTAATGGCATACAAGAACCCTAATAATAAGCTCTAGATATGCATTCTCACAAGACAATGCATCAAATCTCACATTTCATAGCAAAAATCACAAGTAGAAGTCAAGAA